ATTAAAAAGGGACTTTAAGAAGCAATTTTTAAATCTGTCATGCATACTGTTCCCATTTGGATAAAGTCTGAAGTAAACCCAGCAGCCTATGTTTTATACCACAGTGCAATTCTACTACTTTCACAACTCTCGTTTTTTTCCATTATCTACCTCACTGCTCTGCTTCACTCTTCCATCTTGTAAAGAGATTAACAGTATTCTGTAAATATTCACTACACAGTCCTGACTGCACTGGAACAGAAGCAATGTTAACTTAAAATAAATAAATAAATAAGTACCATGTGCCTAGAAGGATGGTGGAATGATTTCAAATCTCAGCGCAGTCATGAAGGCGCTAGGTTTCAAGTATCAGGAGAAAGTAACCACATACTTGGTATCTAATGTCTAGTTTCTCAACTGTAAAAATGAAAATGATACACGCCCTTTCTAAAGGAAGAGTATAATCCATCAAATACTGAAAACAAATACACACTTATTCAAATATCGACTAAAATAAATTCTACTATTGCAAGGAATTGTCAAAATCCACAACAGAACACTTATTTTTTTAGCACCTTTGTAAGTCTCAGCCAGGACAGGACAGCACAGAGCCTAAGCCAGCTCCTGCAAGCAGTTCTCCGAACACTGAAATCGATGCACGCTAGGAAGAAACTTGCAGGCTACTTCATATGGCATACTCAATTGCTTTCACTCATTAACCCATCATCTTTTACAGCAAAGCTCTCCGAAAGATAAGTTACTAAAAAAAAATAATAAAATGGACTGGACAACCTTTGAGATATTTTGTCCTAGCACACGCTCACACTTGGGTATAGAAATGCCAGTGCTGTAGCAGTATCAACAGGGACACCACACACTCACTCCATGCCTTCTTCAGAGAGATGCTTAACAAAAAGAAGCAGGAAAGCTTCTAACCTTTGCTTTCTCAGCATCACAGACTATTAAATAATACGTTATGCTTACATTGTAATAGAAAACCATTGAGGTTGAAAGAAAAGAGACTGGAGAGGTTTGTCTGGAGAGGTTTGTCTTCTACCCTATGGGTACAGTAAACAACAAAGGACAACGTCTGGTCCTGTAAATAGTCTTCAAGCAAAAGGAAGAAAAATAAAATCTACTTTTCAAGATGAAAGTGTACAATCTGTAATACAAATACGGAAAAGGCAGGAAGAAATTCTAAAACAGTACCTCCATTGACAAATAGAAAAATAATTCATCATTTCTTAAACTAGTATTACGTACGTACTATATGCTACTTAAAGGTAATAACATCAACAAGCAAGAGGATTAGTGAATTCCCAATGCTTTTCAATGCTGCAAACAGGTATATACACCGAGCTTTGTCTGAGTCCCTTCTTGATGACACCTGCTATCCTCAAAGAATAGACTTAATAGATCAATGAATTACCACTTTGGACCTCAGCGCACACAGCAGGAAGATCTAAATGAAGCCAGAAACAATTCTGTTTCTTGGTTATGAGACAGCTGATTTGCTTTCAGTATTTAAATACATCTTTAGTAAATATTAAGTATACGAGGGCACTTAAAATGTTTATAAGGTTATACACATTTGAAGATTTCACACATTTACAGTGGTGTCATGCAGACTACACCTGCATACCTGTATCTATTTATATTTATACATACACAAAACTCCAAGGAAGTAAAGTTTTAAAACAGATCAGAGACCCCTGTGAAGCTGCCCACATGCCTTGTGAGCCAGGCCTGCATTCTCATGGTCAGTGCCAACATATGATTAGTATTTTTTCTGTATTCATTGTGAAATTGATGGGATGTATCACTGAATTCAGGTTTCCAGTGCTGTGTGATTTTTTTACCCTCTGACTATACCATTCAGTTTCTTAATTCCAGTAAAACTTACTTTCCATCCTAAGCAAGACACGAGAACTCAGCACTGGTGAATGAGAGTGTTATATCTGGACACCAAAAAACATGCACACAACCATCTTTTTACCCCCTCCAGCAAATATATTTAAGGAATGTTTCTGTGGTACTTCAATTTCTGCAGATTCAGATAGAACATACATATTTATGAAATATATTTTTATGCAAGACATTTACCATTCTTAATCTGGAAGCCAATACTTTTTAGCATATGGTATTCAAATTCACAGATAACAAGTTACTATTATGAAAACTGGCATTTCTGTTCGTTTCCATTAAAACACAGTTTAATGTACAATGGTTTCAACTGCACATGCCTTGAAAGATGCAAGTGTATATACAGGTATGTTAAACAGTTCTTCTTTCCTAGCCCCTGCACCAGGTATTTTATGAACTGAATGTTTATGAACACATTTCACTCTGGACAGTTATGCAAGGATAAATTAGTTGAGGACGTAACCTATACCTGCAACACAAAAACGTAAAGAATCATCTACCCAACTACTTAACATATTTCAGTTGGAAGCAACCTTTTCTGAATACAGTAAACCAGAGTTATAAGCAAGATAAGATCTTATCATAAAAGCTTTACATAATGGTACTAATACTTCCTCACTTCAACCTTAAAATGTGCTAGGTAATGTACCACCAGAAATACTTGCTTTCTAGACGACCACGTTACGTTGTTAAGACATGCTGCCTGCCCTTGCTGCTGCCTTTTCCTTCTTCTGTGCCAGGATTTCTATGGTCATCTACTGAGTTATTTCAGCATGCTTCATCAACCGAAACGAAACCAAACCAAGTGACAGATCATTTTCTGCACAAAGCTAGTGAGCCGTGGAAGTAGCTTAAAACAGAAAAACGTAAGAAGGAGCCATGAGTTAGGCTGGGCAAGCCTGCTGTAAAACCGAACCCTCTGTCACTACGTAACCATGAACCCTTCGTGACCAGGAAGCTCTTAGTCTCCCTGTTCCTAACCAGCTGATGAAATATATGCTAGATACTCAGAAATTGGCTGGAGGTCCAAAAGGTCAGAAGAAGACTGACTAAAGCCAATCTAATGAACATCTCTACTTCACAACCCAGGTTAACAACAAAAATTACGAGTAGCATTAGATCTTAGAGAGAACAACTCAGTAAGCAAGAAACCATAAAAACATTTCCTCCAAGCATGTATTTCTCATCAGCCATGCACCTCCTTTTTAGTAGTTTAATCTCAGTTTCCTGGGAAAATGTCAGGCAAGACAGTGAAAGTTGTTGTCAAAGTCAAAATACAGTATCTATTGTTTATTTTAAATTATGTTGTTGTCATCTTATAGAAAAAATTTAGACTTGCTTGATATAACTATTCTTGAAAGTTTGTTAGCTATTATTCCTCTCTCTTCTGTTGTGTACAAGCTTGTCCATCAGTTCATCGTACGAAAAAACACAGAAATTAGGCTGACTGATGTTTAACATCCATTTTTAAAGATGGATGTCACTCCGTTGCTTTTCCAGCCTTCCATAGCTTCTGCCAATTTTTCCAAGTATTGTGGAATAAATTTGATCAGTTGGTTCAAAAATGTCCAACAGACCTAGAGTATCCTCTTACCTGGTCTTCCCTTGTTAAAGCATGAGATCCTGCTCCTTCCCTTTGACACTGGCTGCATTAGCCACAGACTCCAGTTGAACTTTTCAGTGAAGACACATGCAAAGACTTTGGCCTTTTTCTTGGCATCCCTTTGCAACTTTCCATCTCTGTAGCAAGCTAAAATCCTTCTCTTGGCTACCAAGACAAGCATTGTCTACCCAAGACAAGCCTTTCATAACTAGTATTGGAAATCTGTATGCCTTTGTATCAATTACAGAAATAGTTACTTAGCTTGGTATAAATTTCAAGGTCAACACACAGCCAATGTCTTCCTCTTCCAGGAAAATAACCGTCTTTGTAAAATACTCACTGCCAAATAAAGTTACAATCTCTACTAGAAAAACAAAAAGCCAAGAGAAAAATTATTTTGGAAACCATCCTCCTGGCTTCCAGAAACTCACTTAAAATACCCAATCAATACAAACAAAAAACCCAGGATTCACTCTTCTCACAAGCACCAGGTACTACAAAGTACTTGCCTTGCTTTGGGAACAGAATAAGTTTAGCATTATGTTTGGTTTTGTATTGAGCTAGTCTGTGTTGAAAGCTGTTAAATCAATCAAAAAAAGGGTTGTTATGGTAAGCTACAGATAAAGTGACATTTTACATAATCTGTGTTGCTTGTCTGTTAATGTTAGCTTTATTATTTTCTTTTTTTAGCATTATGTAAAGATGAGAGAGTAATGAACTGAAAAGGCAAAGAGGAATGCAGTTGATAGAAATTTCCATCCCTTCTTTCAATTGCAAGAGACAATTAATTGACATAAGTCAATGCACTTGACTTCATTCTCATAAATAAAGACTAGTCACAAAGCCACCGTCACACCTTACTCAAAGCAAAAGATAATAGCAATTGTCAAGCTGATCAAACATTATCATTAGTAGGTAGAGTAAGGCTGAATTTAAGATTTACTGAAAATGGTAATGCCTTACATCTATGCACCACAGATAAAGCAATAATACTTGACAGTTTCTAGCCATTGTATATTATTTAGGATAGATATTTGTATATATTATCATGTAGATCCAACAAGTTGAGCTACAAAAATTGCATTTGTCTGGTGTAACTGGTGAAAATTTCCTAGAAACAGCTAGACAAAAGTCTAATAAGTAACAGCCTCCTGCACATGTCAAAAACACATTCATGCTAGAAAAGACAACAACTAGTCGAAGACAAAGCCCTTAACTTCCAAAACTGAACACCAAGGGAAAGGCTTGAATTAGATACAGAATCTCTGAACCCTAGCTAAGACAACAGAACCATCTGTGTTCTTCCTACACTTAGGACTCTCCCAAAGAAACCCGTAGCAGTAACAGGTAAACTCAAAAATAAACAGCCTGCTGGGTCGACAAAGTTAACATTATCAAATGTAGAACTGGAACAGTTCCTTACTAGTTTCACTTAATACAAGAATTACTGTAAGTCTTGCAAACATTCCAGTAGAAAATTAAAAATAGAACTTACCTTTGAAGGTCTCAAGTTCCTTTCTGTTGGAGAAAAACAGAATTAAAAAAAACATTATTAGAAATACTACATCTAGAACTACAGGAGATATTTTACACAGTTTAAGACTCATTAAAAGATAAAAAAAAAGGAATTTTATTATCATCATATATAAGATTACTATTACTACGTGCATTTATCTAAAGCAAACACTCTCAATCTGTTTAGAAATTAGGTTACCACCTATTTAGAAACACGTACAGTTATGCAAATATTGCACATTTATCTCCAGTCACATAATTTCTAGACACACTGTTGCAAAAATAACCAAGACTTCTTAAAGGCTTTAGGTACCAAAACATCCATTCCTTAGCAGAGCTTTGCCAATTTATACCAGAGTGAAGAATAATTAGTGTTCCACTTTCATCAATGCTATTCAAAATCCTTTTGGCAACAGTGAAGGAGAAAAATTTGACAATATCACAGTTACAACACATTTTAAAGGCAACAGAGGCGTGTAGTGACATTGCTCAGAGGAGAGGATTTTGAAGTACAGAACATGGCAGATAACCCACAATACTCATGTACCAGAAAGCTAAGAAATTAAGTCAACAGCAATAGTATCTTCTTTCCTTCACACCAGGCCACCTTCCACTTTTAGTAGTTATGCAATTATGAATGCAAAGGCTATAAAAATAAGCGAGATATTTCCTCCGTTTTCAAGAAATTGCAAAACACTCCATTTGCCATCGCTACAGAGTAGTGATTTATCATGAATTTAGAGGCTAAAGAAGAATCAATGTATTAACTCAGATAAGGCAGAATTCTGGCCTTTTCCTTACAAAATGCTCCTTTATAACAAACATCTTTTTGGTCTGTGCCTTGCAGACTGCCTACGCAGATTCTGAATTTTGAAAGCAAAAGTGATGATAAGAAAAATAAATTTCATAAAAAAAAAGAAAAAAGACTGAAGTAACAGTTGTCCAGATAAATGATTCTATTCACTATCCATAGACTAAAGCATGCTTCAGTCATTACTGAGTCACCTACCATACACGCTGTTTCACAATACGTATGCTATACAGTAACTCCTTCTCCTCCCTAACAGATGATGCAATTCCACATTTATTCTTGCATCAAGAACAGACAAAACTGTTTCAAGCCTGAAACAATTTATATTCTAAGCAGGACAAAGTATTCTAAAAGAAGCGAGAGAATACATTTACCTCCACATTTTCAGCGAACATCCCACTTTTGTCACCAAATGTCAAATACAGGTTTTTGAAAGAATGGCTGGAATATATGGGAAAGAATATCCCGTTCTTTCAAACCAGGAAATCAGCTATAGTGTGATTTCCAGCAGAGAAGCCTATTAGTTGTAACTTCCTGTAACTATCTATTTCTCTTCCGGCTTCTCCTCCCTCCCTTTCCCAAGGTAGTTGCTCCCTTTTTTTTTTTACCAGAGAGAAAAGCTACTTCACGTCACCTATGATTTGCAGGTTCATACCTTAATAAATTTTCCTACCCTGCGTACTCTTAATACAGTAACAAAATTCTTCAACACTCTCACAGGTTGCACTCCTTGGTTTTTAATAACGGCTTACTTGTTGAGAAAACAACAATCACAGGAAACGCTTGTTTTCCACAGACTGAAACCAAACTGTACTGAGGAAACATCTTGTGAAAGTAAGAGGAAAAAAACTAGGCTACTTGCCCCTAAAATCAGGAGGCCTTATGCCATTTGTAACCAAAAGGGAAGATGAAACAATTACCGTCCTTCTGTTCAAACAAATTAGCAAACAAGATGGTAACACACTAACCAACTGACAGTGACACTCATTTGCTTTTGACTAAAACCCCAGAACTTTCCCTTTCAAAATCCATCAATATTTTTAGAGTTGATGCTTTAAGATGCTGTCACTATATCCATATACATAATTACCACTCAGTAAGAAAGTTGGAAATGAATATTTGACAAAACTTTTTTTTTAGAACACTTACCTCTCAAAAATATAAAGTAGCTACAACTGCCATACAGTAAAAATACAAATTTGGAATATAACGATCTGCATTTCCTAGTATCCTCATACCAATTCAGATCCAAAGACTGATGATTCTTTATATTTTAGCCAACATGAATGAATCAATCACATCTTGCAGTTTCTCACAACGCTCTTAATAAACATACATTTAGAAATACATATTAAAAAACATGCTTACTGAAAATATGCTGTGAATCAGCAACATGGAGGATTTTTTTTTTTTTTTAATTTAATCCAGTTATTCAAATAAAAACTTGAAGTTTTAAATTTCAATTCTAAATCTCATTCATCAGCAGCTTTGGTAAGAACCAGACACTAAAATGGAAAGGAGACTATGACTTGTAAAGACACTGGAAAAACAGATGGCTTAAGATTGTATCAGCACATTTTCTAGATGTGTAATTATGAAGTTCCAGACAAATGTACAGAAAGAAATGTATTACGAAGTATTACATTTCTCCTTCCCTTTAAGTAAATAAGTATTTTCGTATTTATTGATAAACTGTCAGGAAGAAGACACCTCCTACATCTTCCCTATGAATCCAGAAACTAAAATAATCTGCAGAAGGAATACATTGAACTTACATTAAGAAGGAAACTATGTTTTTGGAACACAGACACTCTATAAAAGAAAAAGCAGTTACCTTGACTAATTAAAATGAGAAAGATTAAACTGTAGGTTTGGAAAACAGTCATCTTCAAAATGAGGTTAAAAGGCAAGCAGGAGGAAAAACTTGCATTGGAAGTAGGCCTGGATGAGTATCTTACTATTTTAGATCCTGCCATATTAAATTACCAGCTTTGATGCTTCGTATTACATTTTAGTATTTGTTTTTCTTTTACTTTAAATTGTTCATTCTTTGAGATAATTTTTCACATTAGGTTTATACAAAAACTACAGCAGCAGAGCTCAGCCTTTGATGGACAGCTTACTAACAACATCATACTAGAAGACAAAACTGCAGTACAATGAATCATCCCAGCAGAAGAGTTCTGCCAACTGTTTCAGCTCAAAACTGTATTACCCTATACACGTTTTTCACGGGGAAAAGGCTAGCCATCCTCTCTACCCCGTTTGTCTCACCAGTTTAAGGCAAGTGAAAGCTTTCCACAGAGAAACGCTCCCGGATTTTAGAGTTCTCATCCAAAAAAATGCATGCACTTCACAGATGGATGAGATACTCCTTTCCATTATTATTAGAAAGCAAGCACACACCTGCCTTACCTTGCCCCTAGTCTTGCTACACATGAAGGCTCTTGAAGCCCAGCGTGGGCTGCTCAGCATCTCTCCAGGACTAAAGGAACTCCCCTGCTAAGTCTGACCACTAATCAATACAACCTAATATTTGGCATCTGACTGTATGCTCTTTTACTTTAGCTACTAAACTTTAGGTTAGTGCCAACAAATCTGGCTAGTTACACAAATCAGAATAGTATTTTTTTTTTTTTTTACAGTTAACAGGAAGCTTTCAGAAGAAAGGGCTTAATTAATAGTTGTATTATAATATAAATACCTCCTCTCAGTGAAAGATGATGTTTAGTACCACTGAGTAAGAAAAAAAAGGCTAAAATAACAGACTAAAGGCTAAAATAATTGGACTATAAAGGCATGGAAGCACTTTAACAGTAATCTTGTTCTGTGTGTAGTGCAACTATGAAGCCCAGCTTCTTTCCCGAGAGGCAAGAGGCTGTACAAGCTCCATCTACATTGGAGTAATGCCCATGAAAACCATTTGGTCACACATATAGGCAATAATTTTCATCTCTTCCTTTCCAGTTGCTTGTTTTCAGAAAATAGACGGGGGGCTTAATTACTCCATCAAATTCTATACCCCTCAAATCCAGTTGAAAATGACCAACGCCATAGCAGCTAGTGAACGGCAACAATTGTCAACGAAATCCCAATTGCATAGGCCTGGTTGCCTACTTCTTCGAGACAATAAAATCAGGACGAAGATGATATTCAGGTATATTTTAATGTCAGCATAGGAGACACACTAATCAGATTCTCGGCCCCTTCTGAGGATGATGGACATAGGTAAATCTGACTATAAACCCCTCTGTGCACCATGCCTAAAAAGGCATAACTGATAATGTCTCAAAAATAACCTAAAGGAATACAATCAAAGCATTGTTAGTGCAAGAGATGCCACTGAGAACTTCTCTGAAATATCTCATCAAAAAAGACCTGAGCCACAGCTATAGAGGAAAAGTATATATATAGACAATGAAAAAATACAATACTCCATTTGAGTCTGAAGTACACCTGTTATACAATTTTTTATTTGCAAGAAGTACAATGCATTCCGAAGCGAATCAAAACTGTAGTGCCTTGAAACTCTGCTGAGACAGGATCTGTCTTTTGAATTACCATTTTTAAGTTACCTGGAACATTCTTATGATTATGTTGTCAGTGGTCTCAACTTCTTCATTTACAGAAGAGTTGAGCTTCAGAGTTTGTGGTGAGAAAATATAATTTTGGAGACAACAGGTGAAACAAACTGTCTACAATATATAACTAGTCCCACAGACTAACTGACACAACCAAAACTCACACAAATAGAAGGCAAGTACTAATTCCCAATTACCTTCCCATACCCCTTAGGCTTTTCATTGCACTGTTGGATTAACCCTGCTTTAGTCACTGGGCAGAAGAGACGGACACTAGGAAGAAGATTATATTGGTTATCACTGATAAACAAAAATAAATCCAGAAAGAGGAATATGGGAGGAGGAGTCATGAAAACCATCCTGCTTTAAGTTACTTTAATCAATGGGAATTCAGTTTATTCTACAGAAGTAACACTAAGTTCTCAGGTTCTACTGTATCTTGCAAAGGGCTGTAACACTAAGATCAATTTTCCAAATGTAACAAAATACCAGGGAATTCAGTTAAATACCTAGAGATGACAGAAATACCACATTCTTTACAACTACGCCAGCAGCCAGAGTTGACAGTTCCATATCTAATCTTCACGAAAAGAGTAGGCAGATAAGAAAGT